ACACCCAGTCGTAAAATTCACAAAAGTCATCCCTGGAAGCCACAAAAAATGCACCGCCTCTTAATTAATGGGAAACTTAACCATTTTTAAAAACTTGCCATTAACCATTTTATGATTTTTTTACCCTCGTGATGCTGGACGCTACTGCCGAGTGAAAATGAGAGCTATTAAGAGCTATTTCTAGGTAGAGATTGGAGGTATTACAAGAAGACATTAGAGCTATATTAAAGAGAAAGCTAAAATGAAAGATTAGCTTGGTAAGGTATTCTCTCTCTCTCTCTCTCTCCCCTATAATCAGTGTTCACGTAACCTAACGGTATAATAAGTCTCCGAGAGCTCAATTATATCGACTATATCAGACTCCACCACAGTGACAGGTCATCATTCAACTGGCACCACCACCCACATAACAATAATTACTCTTATTATCACTGAACAATTATTACCATCATCAGTAGATATATATAAACTTTAATATCTAAAACAAAAATGATTAATGACGATAGTAATAACAATATATTGAGAACAAATATAAAAAAAATATGAAAATTAATCAGAAAAGCTTGACACGAAATGGCAACTTGATTCTCTTGGCCGCCTCCCATTGGGTAATATGTTGTTTACAATTTTTTTCCGTATCGACCAATCATATCCCGACGATCATGAGCTTAGGATATTGGATATGAAATTACAGAGAGGAGTTTTGTTCAGGTATACCGCCCAGTTATTCAATGTTTAGGGGAAAAAATGACCCATGTTTAGGGGGAAAAGTACTGTTTAGGGGAAAAATGTAAATATTAATAACAGAAAAAAAAATACCATGGAATAAAATACTCTGCTTAACAATTTTTATTCTGAGTTTAATCCCGTGTGTGTGTGTGTGTGTGTGTGTGTGTGTGTGTGTGTGTGTGTGTATTATATTGTTGAGTGGATAAAAGTTATGTTTGACGTAGGGCTGTTACGTTAGACCTGGTAGTGGTTCCCGACACAGAAGATGGCTCATTTGGTGATGACTTTAAACTCCTACAGCTCTTGACTTACTGAATACACAAGCAGAGGAGACGAGGAGAATATAATGATGCAGCAGGAAAAGACGCCACAGTGAATAGACACATCCTTGAGTAAAGTTATCTCTCTCTGTCTCCCTCTACCCTATAATAATAATAATAAAAATGGGCCACCTAGACGTGAATTTGTTTAAGGTGTAGAAACTGTCGCTAACATAACAACGACACCCTAACTTGCATGACCCAGTGTCAAGGAATAGTCCAAGAAGACCGGACAACTCACCAACTGCACTGGCTAACCATTACCCCGGAACACGATCCACAAATCGACTAACACCCAGGTCCCCAATTACTGCTGGGTAGACAGAGGCAAATGGCGTAAAGAAACTTACCCATACTTTCACCCTGCCCGGGGATCGAACCTAGGTCCACAAGCTTGCGAGACGAGCATCCTGACCATTACACCACACACACACACACCTTTAATCTCCCTGAACCAGACAAAATATTCCATCACCTCAAAGATTTAAAAATAACCTAACCTAACCTAACCTAACCTAACCTAAACTGCTCTCAGCTCCTCTGCTATTAACTAGTATTTCCCAGACAACTCTAGTAATTTTATTGGATTATCCATTATTAATGTTACTTGTTGTTTTAATGGACTTGGTCGCTACAGGGAGCCACGGGTCCTAGACAAAGTTACAATGACTAGAGAACAAGGGATCACCTGAAGATTAGCCCCCCTCTTAGATTATTTCGCCTTAACATTAACCTAACCTAACCTAACCTAACCTAACCTAACCTAACCTAACCTAACCAAACCTAACCTAACCTAACCTAACCTAACCTAACCTAACCTAACCTAACCTAACCTAACCAAACCTAACCTAACCTAACCTAACCTAACCTAACCTAACCTAACTTACTCTAATCTAAACTAACTAAATCTAGCCTATGATAACTTAATCTAGCTTAATATACTCTAACTTACTATAACCTAACTTAACCTAACCCCCCCCCCTTCTCTCTCTCTCCAGGTAGCATTAGGGTGTTTAATCTCAGTTAAAATGAGAGAGAGAGACAGAGAGAGAGAGAGAGAGAGAGAGAGAGAGAGAGAGAGAGAGAGAGAGAGATCTGTACATCACTACCACAACAAGTTAAATCTTTCGCGAGAGCCAGGCAAGAATGAGGGATTTGGCCGATAAATC